GCCACTTACACAGATAATAATAAATAACTATTCACCTAAGATAGTCCCCAAGAAACATCATTCACAAAACTATACATCCAATTCTGCCACATTCTCAGATGACAATCAGAAAAGCTACTGTGACATGCTTCTTTACAGGCAGAAATGCTCAAGGTAATGAAACTGATGAGTCTTTTCTTCATAGTAAATTAATTACTTCTTCATCACCTATAAGCAACTTCCCATGTTTCTTATGCAGAACATGGCACAATGCTTAGTGCACTCGGTACAGTAGGCTAAAAAATGAGGATTTTTAGTCTTTTTATGACGTTAGGTAGTGCTGCTGCCAGAGGCAGGATGCCAGTTTAGATAGAACTGTGTAAATCTCTGCCAGCATGGCAATTTCTATGCTCCCATGAAAAATAAATAAAGGGCCTATATTTGTGAAGAGTTGAGGGTTCTAAGCATCTCAGAGGAGCACACACTATACAGGAAAATGAAAAAAAAAGTCTTAACTCAATCATCCATTTCAAACCATGATCAGTAAGGAAGTGAAATAGCACTAATTGAGTATTTTTCTAATATTGTTCTTTACAGGCAGCACTTTAAACTCATAAAACCTTTTACTTTGACTACGCTGTTTTAATGTACTGATCTTATTTAGAGCATTACTTTAACTGAATATCCAATGGAAAATATTCCAGAATGATATAAAGTGGTTGAACTATCTTATTGGCAACAGTGACTTAAACATATGATTATGGTACCCAACATGCTCAGACAGATCCTCTATTATCTGATTTACAAAAAACATATTAATCCAACTGGAAAGCACGTGAGAGAAGAGGAAGACATAGCTAACCAATCACACAAAAATGGAAACTTTATTTTCACTAAATGTTTATTTAACGTTGAAACGTATTAGACTTGTTTAAACGGTATGCTTAAAAAAACCCTCTCTTTTCAGAAGCACTGGTGATTAAAAACAGTCCAGTCTTCATCTGATCAGTGATACATTGGGGTAACTCTAACACAACCTCCAAAATCCTATTTTAGAAATGCTGGTTCCTTGTGTTACTGAAACACCTCAGGCCACAATCATGAAAGCTTTCCATTCGCATGGTCCTCCTGTGAGGATCAGCTTGCAGCATCAAGTCATATACAGGAACATTAAAACTGCAGAGGAAAACAAACAACTTGAACTGTCTGTTTACTTTTTGCATTTCATTTACCTGATTCATGTGAAGTACATAAAGCTAATGAAAACCAGTTTCATTTTTGTCTCTAGCTACTTTCATTTTCTGGCTCTCATGCATTGACACAGATTTTAGACGTCATATAAGTATTTATAGTTTTCGACTTCTTAAATAAAAATAATCTAGATTTCTCCTTGAAACTGACTGTGTCCCTTTAACACTAGAAATATAATTGAAAAAGAAAATACACTTTTCACAAAGTATACAGATTATCTTAAACTGGCATGGAAGAAACTGCCTTTTCCACAAACGGCAGTATTTTAAAAGTGATTAAATTAATTTTGTTAATTTTTAATATTATGTAGCTACAGAATCATAAATAGGCAGCATTCAGAGTTTCACTATAAAAATACTTTTGTAAAAGTAGCTCAAATGCTTTCTATGTAACTAGATGTTACATATACAAATAAAACAGGATAATGTATTTACATCTAAGGGTAAAGCAGAGGGATCAATATTGAATGCAAGGATTGAACTCTTTAAATCGGAGTGGGGAACCTTTTTTGGGTTGGGGCCACTGACCCACAGAAAAATCTGTTGGGGGCCACACATAAGTGAGAAGCAAAAATACGTGTATTGACATGGGCCCCGATTCAGAAGGAGAAAGACACTGTCCGCAATCCCCTCGCACACAAGAGCCTACGGGGACCCAGTCTAGTTGATTTAGTGAGCTTCAGCCCCGCGGTGGGAGGAAGGGTGAGCTGGAGCACTAGCACATGCTCCGCAATGCTGGAGGGGCCACTGAGTCTCAAGGACCAGATCCAGACAAGCTGGGGGCTGCATACAGCTCTGGACCTTAGCTTTAAATCATGATTTGCAGACTTCAATAATTCTGCCAGAGGTTAGGGGGGTCTATATGAAAGGAGTGGGTGAAATTCTGTGGCCTGCAATGTGCAGGAGGTCTGACTAGATTATTATAATCCTTCCTTCTGGCCTCTATGCTTGAAAGGCACATAAAAAACATCAGCGAGAACTGTTGAAATCACTTTAAACTTCCACTATGGAAAAAATCCATTATTTTAACAAAATGCAAAGATTTAAGAGAGATAGGATTGTGAATTAAATGCTACTAGAAGACACAACCACAATAAAATCAGACAGTCAATGTTAGAAAGCCTTTAACATGAACTGTCAAAAACAACTAATCAGACTTTTATCTAAAAAAATTGTTTAATCATTACAAGTAACATGGAAGATCAATCCACCTGAATTATTAAATTAACATATTTTCTTCTATGTGTTCAGTTTATTTTATACTCTTAACAGCACTTTGTATATAGTTGGTTTCACAGTTTTCCTTGTACAGTTAGTTTCCACTGTTGTTTGTGTAAGGTCTTTCATTATAAACTACAAAAACTGACTGGGAGACTCAGGAGAAATGATCTAGCTTTAACAAAACATTTTTGTTTTAAATTGCCTAGATGTCAAGTTGACCATGACCCTTTAAAAAAAATACTAAAACATTAAGGCTTACATTTCTAACAAACATAATTAAAATGGTAGCAAACAGGTTTATTCTATTTTTATCCTAGGACATACTCTCTCACTAACAACCAAAACTGAGTACAGTTGGTTTATAAGTAGCACTTTCTGTGGCTACCAGCAAGAGGCCTTTTGGACTTCTGCTTCACAATACAGGGAGATAGAAATTGATCCAAACAAAGATATAGGTTGAACCTCTCTAGTCCAGCATTCTCTGATCTGGCAACATCTGTAGTCCGGCATAAGGGTGTGAAAGATTAACTGGTTAACGGGCCATGCTTACCGGCTGAGGATAACCGACAACCGGCAACCGGGGGAGACTGGAACAGCTCCCCCTCTGCCACAGGCAGGGGGCTGCTCCAGCCTCACAGGGGGCCCGCCAGAGACAGGAATTGCCCCTGTCCACAGCGGGTTCAGGTGCTCCACGGCCAGTGGCTGTTATCACATTCAGAGCAGCCTCTGTCCATGGCAAGCCTGGGCCCACTGTGGACAGGGACTGCTCTGGCAGCAGCTGGGAGCAGGGAGGTGGCAGCTGGGAGCTGGCAGAGCCAGTCCCAGCCCCAGGGTGGAAGCTGGGAATTGGGAGCCAGTGGCAGCACAAGCCCCAGTGCATGGCTGGAGCCAGCTACCAACCCCAGCAAGAGACTGGGAACCCCACGGGCTGAGGGCTGCTCCAGCCAGGCTGAAGCAGTGCCCAGGCCAGATCCTGCTTTAGTTGGTTACATAGTTAAACATTAGGTTAACTCAATGTTTAACCAGTTAACTGATTAACTGGGATTTTACATCCCTAGTCCGGCATGATTTTAGTTAGCTGGATGTTCATTTATCATGGTTGTGGCCAAGTTTTCTGCAGTCCCATAAAGTTTGTTTACAGGGACTACAGAAAACTTGGCCACACCCACAAACCAGTCCTGCCTTTCAGTGTTCTGTGCTGTTATTTAGCCCTAATTTACCCCAAAATGTCTTCTAACAGCCCAGTAAGCAGGGGAAGTGTTGGTAATGCTGCTGGACAATACCAACCTCCTGTGGTTCAGCAAATTCTCTAGTTTGGCACCAGCCAAATCCCGAGGATACTGGACTAGAGAGGTTCAGTCTGTATTACCTTACCCACATGCATGTACCAATTTATATATAAACTGTGGTATGTCTATTAAAACATTAGTTTATGTGTGATAATAACATTCAATGTTATTACACATTTTCACTAAAGAAAAATATTTTGTAATATTCCCTGAAATTGTGTTATGTAAAGCATACTGTCCTCCTGAAAATGAACACAAAGTTATCGGGGTTCTCGTTGACTGTCAGAGAGTTTGTTACTAACTGCACACGGGATATGGAAATTAGATAAAAGGCATTCCTAAACCTCACACTAAAGCACAGCAAGCAAATTATAAAAGGGACCTTCTATTTAAAACCAAACATAGTCCACCTGCACCACATCTGGACGCTGCAGATCACTCCAGCGCTCCCTCGGTTTGTCTGAGATGCGCTTTTGATAGTTGACGCAGCTGCAAGTGGCAGCCTGCCTAACTTCGCTAAAAGTGAACGGAGCACATTCAGTTCCGCCTGAAGCGTGCGGAGAGCGGGGACCAGAGAAGGAAGCTAGCCGGCGACAGCAAACGACAACGCAAAACACCACAATCTTCCCAGCCACCCCCTGTTGTGCCTGCTCCCTTCCTCGCTTCCCTAGCCGGGCCATCCCCAACCCGTCTGAGGCTGTTTGACAGCTCCAGGAAAAAGGCAGCTTCTACTTTCAAACACACTCCGCGGCTGGGTTGGCTGCAGGGAATTGTTGTCTAAACTTTGCGTGTGTGTCTACGTAGACAGAGGTTTGTAGAGTCATCCAGTTAGGGCTAGATCAAGCTTTTCTTTACTCCCCCTCCCCCAGAACACAGCAAGGGACACAGAGGGCAAGCGAGAGCCCTGGAGGAGGAGAGAGATCCCAAGAAGGGCAGAGGAAAGGTGCAAAAGGGAGGGAAGGACTGAGGAAGGGGCCATGCCAGGGAAAAGGGGAGAGAGCGGGTGGGAGGAGGAAAGGGAGAGAAAAGTGAGAGGGAGGGAGAGAAGAAGGAGGCCAAAGGTGAAAAGGGAGAGAGCAGTGGGGGAGGAGGGGAGAGTGCCACGGGCAGAGGAGGAAAAGAAAGAAGAAAGAGGTGAGGGGGGAAGGGACCCTCCCAAAATGGCACTGGGCAGAAGGGAGGGGGCGCTGAGGAGCGAGCCTGTGCTGACAGCTCTGCCTGCCCCCTGCCCCGCTGCCTCTCCCACACGCTCCGAACTTACTTCTTTCTGGCTCTCTGGAAAGGGGAAGCGCCATCTTTGCGAGGCCGGCCCCTAGGTCTTTTGTCTGTGGCTGCTGCTGGGGGGGGAGCTGCGGGCTGGGGGGGCTGCTGCGGCGGCGGCGG